GCAAGCCTGTTTGTGGACATTCAAGGGTAATGCTCTTTGGGAATGATCAGAGTGTTGATCTCTGTTTCTACTGCGTCATGGGACTCTGAAAGCAATAGATGAGAAGTAACAGCCAGCCCTGCAAAACAGGGAGAAAGATGGCAACCCCGTCTCTGCTCTTCTTGGACTTTCTCTACTTTTGAGGAGATAAATTAATTTTTAAAATGTACACACCTCACTCAGTGGTTTGTACATCAATGTATTACGTAGCCAACTTCTCAAGTGCTTCATTTTAGTAATTTCCCAATTGTGGTTATGTCAGATCTCCTCAGATAACATGTGGTAGACATCATGGATAAGATGTTTAATTGGATCACACAACTGCACACTTTTCTGGGTAAAAGTTAAAGGCTAAGAAAAGTTGTTATGCTTCAAGACAGAAAGTAACCCTTAGATACAACACTATCCTATTTAATAATTAAGGAAATAACTTACTATTAGAAAAATATTGATGAGGGTGACTTAATCTTAATTAGAAATTTCATCCAAGCCCCAGGAAGTACTATGAGTCTACTAGAATGTACTGTTAGTGAGGGACAGGGCAGCTTATAAAAAATGCAAGTAGAAATTAGAGAATACATTGAGCCCAAGGCATTAGAACATGTAACCAATGTCCACTTGTCAGGAAATGTGACATGCAATTCTTTTAGAAAAATTGACAGTAAGCAGGTGTTTTACTGAGGAATGACTGCTTCAAGATCTTTAATGTTTCAATTATGTGTAAAACATATGACTAGAGGTTGATGAGAAGTGAGAATTATGGCTGAAATTTAGGATTCAACTTTTCTTAAAAGATTGCATCCCCCATTATTAATTTAAGCCAGTAACTGTATTATTAAAATTGTACTTGACTTCCAAATGTTGCAGCCGTATACTTCCTACTAGTTCATTTATTTTGCTGGCCTTAATCAAATATGTTGGAGTTTTAGGAGGATGGAATCTAAGAGGGCACAGGTACTTTAGTGAGTGGCGTGCCTGGTATTTGGCAGACATTAAGTTATCAGTTTATCTTTCTAGAGTGAACCTAGTAGAATTATTTACAAATACAAATATGAAAAGCCCACATGAGAAGGAGTAGCATCTTTGGTGATCACATATACCAGTGAGGAGAGGAGTCTGGCCCAGAAATGGATAGATGGTACCCTGGACAACTCACTGTTGTACTGAAAACTGTAGATATTAGAGGCATCAGAGGGAATACATTGTAAATGAACACACCACTCTGCTTCTCCTTCCCTTCTTTCCTCATATTCATGTCTTCGACGCATGTCTTTTTAAAATTGAATTAGCTTTAGTACTGCATATCTTTACTGTACTCTGGGTAAAAAGACAGGGACATTGTGTGCTTGAACTGACAGCGATATTGGCTAATGGTGTAGTTTACGTTCTCTGAATGAGCAGGAGTACAGCCTACTGATAAGTCCATAAACAAACCTTTCATCAAATGGACAAGTGAGCAAAAACTGAGCAGAGCCCTCTATAGTGACTGTGTTAAGGGCACCTCTGTGGGAAAGGGGCCTCCTCTTCTTGCACACTGGTTCTCTAGAGAAAGGCACATGTCAGGCACGAGGTGAGGCTGTCACAGCAGCATTCTGTTACACAGACTAGAAATAATAGGCACAGGGCACTACATGTCCATCATCGAGGTGCTCAATGGTGATTCTGTGCAATAGTGTATCTGTTTTCCCCAGCTACTCTTAACACTTTGTTGATAAGCCAGCAGTAAGACCATTTGTATTCTCACCAAGCCTCCTTTAACTTCTCTGTCATCCATCGTTTTAATCCAAAGACAAGAAAGTTCTCAGAGCTCAGCCCTGAAACAACTGCCTTTCCAGATGGAGCTGTCTGCACTGACAGAATCAGGCAGCCCTCTTACTCTCCTTTGACTGTGGATTCCTTGACTCTGTGGGCTGCACCAAACCTACTTTCTGTGATCAGTCCCCCATTACAGGCAAAGAGACTCCACTGCAACCTTGCCTGGAAGTTATCTTTACTCTCATGAGAAATAGTCCACTGACCCCATAACATCAGCAGGTGTTGGACACTACTTTAAGACAAAAGTCTTCCCAGTCTTCTCTGTAACCTCACGCCATTCCTTCTGACAGTCAGGATATTCCTGCTGATAAATGTCTCCACCCATTAGTGTCCCGAACACCCTGTCCAAAAGACACCCAACTGTTATTCTCAAGAAATTTGACATCCATTTTGAAGAGCCTTGTAATACTAATAATTATCAAAGACTATAATTTGAAAGTTTGCTATCACTGGAAACTGTTCTAACATTATGTAGTGTTAATTTGGAAAATATTTTCTTAAGATAAAATGAATGTTTTCATTTTAGCAATTTTGTCTTCTAACTTTTATTAAATTTGCTAACTTGTTCTTTGTACTCCGCGACAAAGCCATCTGTCTTTTGTAATTTCTTATGTAACACATCAGTCACAGTAAGGCAATGCCTAAGATTTACTTCATCCCCGACTCAAAAATCTACTTTACAATATTCTCTGATTCTTCTGTGAGGTCATTATACTCACTTCCATTTATGATTCAAATGAGGCTCAGTAAGATTAAGAAACATATCTAGGACATGGGGACTGCACAGAAGAATCCACACTTAAGATGTGGAGATAGCCCCAAGACCCTTGTGGCAACTGAGATGTTTCCTTGTTCGACTCAAGTAAGAAGCTAAGTCAGTTACTCTTCTTATCTCTCCTAGATTTTCCATGGTTCTTACCCACTTTTGCTAGATACTTTTAGTAAAGTTGGCATTTTATCTCGTATTTTTAAAAGTTAGTGAATAATCAGTATCTGAATATTATTGTTTTTATTTTTAATCACATAGATGTATCATGTATTATGTACGTACTGTGCGTGTGTGCGTGCGTGCGTGTGTGTGTGTGTGTTTATGGTGAGGTATGTGGACCACATGGTGTGTGTGTGAAGATCATAGGAAAACTGTGGAAGTTGTTTTTCTCCTCCCATTGTGTGAGTCTTGGACTTGAACTCTGGTCCACAAGCCTAAAGTCAGGTCATTCTCCTTGTTAAGCACTCACACCAGGTACCATAAATCTTGTTTGGGCAACTAAAAATCATCATCTTGTTTTCTTTTTTCCCTTGCAGTGAGCAAACGTAATGTCTGTATGCCATCATGTATGTGAGGTTGCTTGTGTAACCTGAGGTTGCTCATGTACCTGAGGTTCTCCTCAGCAACAATTGCAAGAGCAAAAGGGAGCTCTCTATCTGTGAGTCAGGCAAATCACAGAAGGTCACAGGGTCTCATTACTCAGCTATTATCCACCAAATTAATGTTATCTACCATACAGGCTATGGTGAAGACTAATTACGTTATATGTGAAGTATTGGCACCGGCCTCTGCATCTCACATCCAGTGCTGATTAGTCAAAAGGTCACACTTGTGGCACTCAGTGGGAAGGTTAGAGAAAAATAAGCTATAGCAGGAGTTGCAAAACCAGCTGGTAGAATCTCAGAAAAGTCCTCAAGTCCATTTGTTAAATAAAATCCTCCAAAAGATACATATTACTTCTGCTGGATAGCCTTGGCATAAGCAGAATAGACCCTTAGTGAAAATTAGTTGATATTTTAGAATTCATAAGATTTCTCCCAATATGATCCCATTTTAGTCAGTATATTTTTTGGAATCAGTAGGTGGGGAATGACTTATGACTAAGTTATACCACTACACTCCTTCACTAATGAAATAAAAGATGGATGTGTGAATGTGCTGTTTTGAATTGCTTGTCATCACAACTCCAAGAGAGTTAGAGAGTCTAACTTCTCTTCGGTTGGTGTGCCGAATGGTTATAAATGAAGTTGACACAAGCCAGAACCACAGAATTGGAGAGATCCTTGATTGAGAAAATGTCTCAGTAAGAGTGGGCTATAGCCAGCCCTGTAGGGCATTTTCTTAATTGGAGATTGATGGGGGCGGGCCCAGCCCATTGTCAGTGGTGCTATCTCTGGCCAAGTGGTCCTGGATGTTATAAGAAGAGGCTGAGGAAGACATGGGAAGCAAGCAATAAGCTGCCCTGCATGGCCTCTGCATCAGGACCCCACCCTGTTTATTCTCCACCCACACTGCATTTGATAGTGAAACATTATATGGAACTGTACGTGAAATAAGCCCTTTCTTCCCCAAGGTGCCTTGGTCATGATGTTACATCACAGCAGTAACAAGACAGCTGCACAGCTAGCTACACTGAAACACACCTAGTTCTCAGCATCAGATTCAATTTCTCTAAGAGGTTGTTTGTACAAATTAGAGTCCTGCCTCTCTTTTCTAAATATAATGTGTCATGTAGGATTGTGACACTGTCCCAGACCAAGAATTTTTCTTCTTTTTATTATGGATGAGAGCTGATGTAACATTTTTTATCTTAAGAGCATGAGGGCGAAACAATTCTCAGTCCTCTGGAAACAACCTCCAGTGTCTACAGACGAAGGGGGGATACTCGGTCCCACTAGGACACCCCCCAGTGTCTATAAACCACAGGGGGGGAGACTCAGTCCTATCAGGAGACACCTCCAGTGTCCACAGTGCAAGGAGCTTGGTAAAACTTATACTAACAGGTATCATCCACCCCAGGAAGTAAGCAGTGTTGCTTGTTGCTGGCACAAATTAAAGGATGCAGTGAGTCCTTCCAGAGCAGGTTACTTGGAACAGTGACAGCCTGTATTTAGTGGCTGGCCTCCAAGCTCCTTTGCCTCAACTTTTGTGAGGGCAGAATCTATGTTATATTTTGCAGAGGTGTGCTCTTTCCATTTTGGGGGGGGGCATATGAATTCTTATGAACAGACAACCTGGCATTGTGAAGCTTAGTATGGATATATCTAACACTTACCTTAGACTGTTTGTATCTACGGCCGTATATTTACACAAACTGCAAGGTAAGGTAAATAATGTAAACACACATTCCAAAAAGTAAAAATTCTTGTAGCTTTACCCAAAGATGCGCTTTAGCTCTGTGAATTCATTTTCTTTGATCTGCAGGTTATCTTCCAATCTTTCTATGATAATAGCATAAGACTCACTAACTTTCTTCTTCCATTCATCTGAAAAAGAAACACAAATGGGATTGATTCATAATTGCATTTTGCAAAAAAAATGTAGACACAGATCATAACATTCAAGTAATCAAAACTGTTTTTTTTTTTATTTTCAATTCTACAATACTCAATTTAAATGACTGATTGTGGGTTTAATGCAGATGTTTATGTTTATAATGCAATCACTTTGGAATTGTAGTAATTAAGAACCCATTTGATATTGTACAATATATTTACATAAAAGAATATATTTGACTTATTTCATTTGACTTTATTGCATTTTAATGGCAGCATTCTCTAGATGGTAGACAGTGTCTTTAACTTTTAAATACTAGATACTTACTACATAATTCTGAAATATCTATATTCAATAGTACCCCGAAACTTCTTACCATATTATACCAAGGGACTAAACTGACAGTTTTACAACACATTTTCTGTTTTCTGCCAATAACCTTTCAGAGAAAAAAAAAGAATAAATTCAGATAAGCACTTAATATACTCTGTATTCAAATAGGCATGAGTCTCAGTGAGAAATTGCTCACCTATACTTACAATCAAATCATGTTGCATGTAAGAAAGCAAGGACAGTTAGCATAATGGGGTGAAAATAAGAATAGTTAGTTACCAGAGCAAGTCTGTGCTGGCCTGGATTTGTAATTCCCCATTTTAAAGAAGTATTTGCTTTCCTCCTGTGCCGCCCTTCAGGGTAAAGATTCCAAGTTCTAGTGCTGCAGCAGGCCAGTTGAAAAATATTTTGATAGTCTGGCTAAAAATAAGCCAAGTGCCTAATGGAATGTCAGGCAAGGATGACGAGGAATGAAACAGAGTGTGCCTTCAAGGGTGAGCTAGTGAGGGGGCGGCTGGATTTGTTTTATGGGAGCAGCGTGAAAGACAAACAGCAAATGTTTCAGCTGTGTTATTCACTCCATCCGTTGACGGCCTGTCTGTCCCCACATCCCTTCCTTTTAGGCCACTTTCTTAATGAATTAATCTAGAAAGTGATTGGTAACTTCTGAGCTCCGCTGAAAGAGATTCAATCGAGCCAGCCTGTGTTCAGTGTTTTTTGTCTTCTGGGTCAAATAAGGCATCTGGGACACAATTATTATGGTGGCATTTCTCCATGTTAAAAAAAAAAAAAGTCCACAGAAATTCCCGTCAAATATCACTGTCACTGAGAGACCTGGGTGTGAGTTTTAAGCTGCAGGAAATGGGGTCGTATATACACTGTGATCATCTCATTTGTGTCCCTGCCCTAAGACTTAACGGGTAAGAAAGGACACAGAGCTTTACAAATACCAATCCACAGTAAGAACACTGACCAGGAGGAGGCCTCTGGGGATTGCCATTTCAGAGTTATTTTCTTATACCTTCCTAGTCAGTAAACGGAGTTCACATACTATGATTTTTTTTCCCCCAGTGTCCGTTCCAAACAGTCATTGGAGTCTGAACTCAATCCTGGGAACATTCGACTCCACTGACATGTGAGCCTGCCCTTATTACTGATGTGCTGTGTTCTGAGCTCTCCCTTGCACCCCTTGCTTACATCAAGCCATTGATTTTCCCATGCATATTTCTATTAAAATAAATGAACCTGGTGTGTTGTGAAAAATAAATGAACGCAACATAGATGATTTATTGGCCATTTTCTATATATTTCTTCTAGGTGATCTTACTGCATTTAAAAGACATAAATTACCATCTTGAAAAATCACACATAACTTTAATGTATCAGGTGTGGATTTCACATTTACTATGGCCAAATATTCAAATGACTCTTCATTCATAAACAAATGCTTGGATGAGTTAAGAAATATCCATTCCTCTTCTTTAGTAAAGTTAATAAATTGCCCAGGGGTTGGACCGCTCTACTAATGAAATCCAGTTGGAAGATTCAGTACCCTGCTTTGTACATGCGTCTATCCTTAGTGGTTAGACCTCTCTGCTAGTCAGTCCGTGACTGTCATTAATGTGAATAGTTTACACGACACAGGGTCCTCTGTCCTGATGTAGAATGTCTCCCTGTATTCTGTAAATATGATTTATGACCTCTGGTTAATAAAGAAGCTGATTTGGCCAATAGCCAGACAGAATAGTCACGTAGGAAATCCAAGCAAAGATACAGGGTCTGGGAGATGCCAGCAGGTGCCAGAGAAGCAAGATGTGAGGTAACAAGCCATATGCCTTGTGATAAAATATAAACTAATAAGTTGTAAGAGCTATTAATAGTAAGCCTGAGCTAATAGCCCAAACAGTTTGCAATTAATATTTAGCCTGTGAGTGGTTAATCCAGAACTGTTGGGTGGGAGAGAAATGTTGGTTACACTGTCAACCTTGGCCTATAGATTTTTCAGTTTCTTAGTTTGAAATCAAGACACCATCTTTCCTACCAACTTGTTCACATTACTGTGTGACCTCTACCTAGCTTGTTCCTTGAGCTGAGGAACCCCATCCAGCATGTTCTCAGTCCCCATTCTCTCTGGAGTATTCAGCTTTCCTCAGATAAGCTGTTCTCAGATTCACCAGCCCAGAAAAAACTGACTTCTTTAATACTTCTCAGTCTCAACTCACACACTGCTCACGAGAAATGATTCTCCAGGGACATACAATAACATAATATGCATGTGCACGGTTTATGCTACAACTTGGGAGTTAACACATTAGCTCACAGGAAATGATAATGTCAGTAGGTATTAGAAACATTCTTTTTTCACATATCTGTATCTTCATTTTATCAATTTTTATTAGCATATATTTATTGTATAAAATAATGGGGCTCATTATAACTTGTGAATAAACATAGATGTGTGGGTCTCAGCTGCATGAAAACTTTCAAGTAATTATGTCATGCATTTGGTCACATTAACTCCCTTCATTATCCCCTTTCTCAGACTGAATGCATTTTCTTAATCCTATTTCCAGTTGCATCTGTTTTTCTGCAAAAGGCACAACTTCATTGTTTGTCATTGTAAAATCTCCATCATGCAAAAAAGCCACGTTTTCTTCATCCATTCATCTGCCTATGCATAAGTAGGCAGATTCTACAGCTTGGCTGCCATGCACAGCCACAATATACATGAGTATCCAGCTCTCTCTGTTAATACACTGACTTGAGTCTTTCAGGTAAATTTGCAGTAACGATAGGTGCAAACCATTCTTTTTGTCTTGAGACTGTACCAGCATCTGTTGTTGCCTTTTTTAAGCTATTCATTCTGACTGTTGTGAAATGGAATCCGAGTGTCATTTTTGTTTGCATTCTCTCATTGCTAAGGATGCCAAACAGTTTTCATATGTTTATTGTCCAGTTCTTTTGAGAACTATCAGTTCCATTTGTTTTGGCATTTTATTGATTGAATTATTTGTTTTTGGGTTTGTTTAATAGTTTGATTTATTTATACACTTGAATAGAAATCCCCTATTGGATGAATAGCTGGTAAATATTTTCTCCCATTGTGCAGGTTGTTCCTTTACGCTGTTAAAATGTTTCCTTTGCATAAAGTCTCTGGATAAATGCAGTTCCATATGCTGTTTCTCATAATTTGCTGAGGCACTAGAGTCCTATTCAGAAAGCCCTTCGCTGGACAGTTTACTGAAGAGTATTGCTCATGAGTCCTCTAGCACACTCAAAATTTCAGGTCATATTTTTTTCAGATCCTTGATCTATTTCAAATTAACCTTTTATGTAGAAGGAAGGAACCAACCCAGGTTTATTGTACTATGTGTGGATAGCCAGTGTCCTCACAACCAGATCTAAGAGGCATGCACAGTGGCAATCCCTGGGAAGAAGAGAGTTTGATGCTACAGTGTAGAGAAACTATTCTCTACCCGAGGATTGTGACTCCAGGTTTGGTCACCCTTTCACAGGGTCTCTAAGTCCATCGGAAAACACAGATATTTATGATTCATAAAAGTAGCAACGCTTTACAGCTCTGTCGTAGCAGTGGAAATGGTTTACAACATGGGGAACTTAAAGGGTCACAGAGTCAGGAAGGTTGAGAACTATTGGTCTAGAGCTTAGAACTAATTTATAAAAGGAGACCAACTCAAATGTGTGTTCATCTATAAGTTGATAAAAGAAACTATATTTCCAAAATAAAAGACAACTCAGCAGAAAGAAGGCACGTGTTACTCTGATGCCGGCGGTTAACGTCCATTGTTTATTGCACTGGATTTAGAATCACCAAGGGGAAGCACCTCCGGGTCTGTCTGTGGTAGTGTTTCCAAAGAAGTATAAGTAAGGAGGGAGACTTACGTTATGGATCACTTTTTTGAAAACAAAACCACCATAACGAAAACATGTATCAATCTGAAAAATTAAGAAAAATTATCCAAATAAATATGGCTCTCTAAATTATAGTTTCTGTGCTGGTGAGGTGGCTCAGCAGGTTAAGGCATTTACTGCCAAGTCTGAGGACCAGAATGCACCCTGTGAAAGGAGATGGTTGTAGGAAAAACCAGAACCAGCCCACGCAAATTATCCTCTGACATCGTTATGTGCTAACTGACATGGATGTGCCTCTGCACACGCACACACACACACACACACACGCATACATACACACATACATATATATATATATACACATGCGCACACACATACATACATACAGAGGTACAGAGAGACACATATACACACATAAATACACACATGTATACACACATGAACACACACACACATACCCACACACAAACATATACATACATATATACATACATAAATATACATAGAGAGACAACACACACACATATATATACACACATGTAGATACATACATACCCACATAGACACACATCCATACACATACATATACACAAACATCCACACACAAACATACCCACACATACACATATACATACAGTCACACACATACATACATACACATACCCACACATAGACACACACACACACATACACACACTATACAATTAAATATGAAAAACGTAATTTAATAGTAAACAATCCGATTCTTCACAGACAGTTTATAACACAGGTAAAAACTGAGGAAATTTATGATTACTAGTATTTCCTCTCAGCCTCACTTGATCTCACATTTTAAAATGCCAGAAGGATTTAGCCGCATCTTATTTTCCCAAGTCTCCCCTTTCTGACTGGACCTCAAGTCCTACTGGCACCCACTTTCCACCTTATTCATCTGCACGGCGACGACGCTGCTCTAACACCCAATGCGTCCATTTACATTCTCCCCCGATTCCTTCATTTTGAGCTCATATGATTTATTTATCCCAGTCTCCCCTTATGCATCTGCTATTTATATTTTATACTGCTTTCTTCATACATATTTAAGAGGATGCTTTCAAGACGAAATGACAAATATTAACCTTAACTCTACTTTCACCTTTATCTTATAAAAAAACATGTATTCTGTGAAATACAGCCCAGACATCTGAAACAAAGTTTCCATCATATTTAAAATGAGTTAATTTAGACTTGAAAACCTAGATCATTCATTCATTGTGTGAGTACTTACTAATATATTCCCAGTGTCAGTGAGGCCAGGGTGTTTGATACCTTCATCTGCTTGGGAGGAAAGACAACAGTTGCCACAAAGATAAGAAACCAGAACTTGTAACAGTTTATGGTGATTGTTCTTTCTTTTGTATAACCATAACATTGTTGTCCAGTTGGCAAGCAGTGGTTTTCTAATGATGAGTCTCAGCTGAAACAGTCATTTCAAAAGTTAAT